GGCGGCGGGGCTAGTAAAGCATGGCGGGCCGCCAGGCTTATAATACACTGGAGGAAACCCTGGAATGATGATATGACGGGGATAATTTTACAACAGCTGAGGATCATTCAGACCAATATCTATAATCACATTCTTTCAAATTTTTAGCAAAACCGTGTGAATTTCCAAAGCCCCACCAGAGTCCCAGCTGAAACCTGAGCAGGAAGTCCATCTCTGTTGCTGCAGGTCACTCAGTAGAGGCTGTCGTCGTCTGCACTCAGTGCTATGATGTGCATCCTGGACAAAACCAGGTATGACCCCACCTGATTGGTCTTTATCCTCCGTGTCGCCAGGAAGGACGAGAGCAGTATGAGCTGGCTGCCACCTCGGAGCAGGCTGGCAAGAAGAAGGGAAAAGGGAAGAAGAAGGAGAAGGATATGGATGAACTGAAGAAGGAAGTGGACATGGTGAGTGTCCCGCCTCGGCAGGACGCCTTCCTCTGATTGTTCAGGCTCTTTTTCAGTTTGTACGTCACATCCTTTATGTTGTAGCTTTTCTGTTCCTGTTAACTTTCTCTCTTGAGATCAGGGAAAAAAACACTGTAAGAGCCTGTTTAACATTTAATGTATTTTTTCCACTTCAATTAGATATAATCACATCTTAGTGGACTGCATGTTGAAGGTGTTCCCTCTCCTTCTGTCCATTTAAACCAGTAAATGTCATAGCTTCTGTCTTAAAGGTGCTTTCTGGAGAATGGAAAGGTCATCTCCCAACGGGCTCCAAATGTCACCGGCGTCGGCCATATTGGACCCAGACATGAACACTTTGTCTCTCGTTGCAGGACGATCACAAGCTGAACCTGGACGAGCTCCAGCGCAAATATGGGACAGACCTCAGCAACGTGAGTGAGACAAATGTCCCACGTTTCTTTTTAATATGAGGTTTGCAATAAAAGTTGGAAGAAACCAAAACTGTTCTTTCTGAAAAACTACATTAAGTGATTGGTGAAAGGTTAAAACTAAAGAATGTCCAAAGTTTAGAGGAAAACTTCAGAGAGTAGTTAAGTTAGGATGCACAGACTTCTAAAAAGGTCACAAATTGTTAAATCTTAAGGATGATAAAGACAAAGTTCAGCCTGTTATTTTAACTCAACAGTTTCATGAATTTGCACTTTAGCATTAGCTTCTGTTAAACACTGTGTTGGTGTAGTGCTTTAGCAGTAGCAGGACAAGTGTTTATGATTAGCTTTTGGTGTTAGTGGAGCTACTGATTATTGTTAGCATTTTAATGTTGGCACAGCTAACTTTTTATTTAGCGTTTACTACCCAGAAACATTTAATGGCTTTTTGTACCAAGTCTACTGCGTTGTGATTCACACCTCCAGGCCTTGATCCATGAACTACTGTGATGAATAGTAGTGATGAATAGAATAGTATAGTATTGGTGAATAATGGGATCTGATCAAAATTAGCATGAAGCTAATCATGCTAATTATGTAGAAGCTAATCAAATATGTAACCTGTTCAGTGTTTGATTCACAAAGGGAATGGACCTTTCCTTGTAGAACGCGGACATTTTCCCAATTCATCATGTTCATGTAGAAGTTTTTCTGCGTCTTGCTGCTGAAAGCCCCCTGACTTAGCTGACTTAGCTGCTGGTCATGCAGGACAGATAAAGGAGAATAGTTGATTGGTACCTCTAGTTGGGGTCTCTGCAGGCTCGGCATGCCACCTTCCACAGCCCTTTTGTGCTGAAGGTATGTTCAAAAAACAAAAAACTCTGATTATGTCATAAACAGAACTGTATCCATTTTTGATATTTTATGTTTCACTGTTTGTGCTGCGAATTAGCTGTTGCTATTGCACTATGACGCACACATGGGACTGCTGTTTTGTTCGGTTTGTCTATGTCGATGTGTGTCTGTCCCCGTCAAATAAACTTAATAATAATGTTGTCCCGTCCTAACCTCCTCTTCCTTCAAGATTCTTCCCCTTGCTGCAGATGAACCCTGAAGCCCTGTTTCTCCTGTTCATGCTGTGTTGCTAGGCAACAGCAGCACCTGCCGTCCCCTCTGGACCTAACAATGTTTCATTGTGTTGTAAAGAGCGATGATGATACTTACTAAGAACGTGACTTGAGGGTTTCCCGCCATGTGTGACGTGACTTCTGTTGCCTTCCAGGGTCTGACTGGAGCCAAAGCTGCTGAGATTCTTGCCCGGGATGGCCCCAACGCCCTCACCCCCCCTCCCACCACCCCAGAGTGGGTCAAGTTCTGCAAACAGGTAAAACTAGACCGCCCTGGTCAGAGACTTTAGAGTTCATTCCATTTATTGGCTCTAATCCTGTGACTTCCTGTAGATGTTTGGCGGTTTCTCCATGCTGTTGTGGACCGGAGCTGTCCTCTGCTTCCTGGCCTACGGGATCCAGGCTGCCATGGAGGAGGAGCCCGCAAATGACAACGTAGGAAAACCTCCTTCAGATCCTGAGAGGATCCCTCTTAAGAGCTAACAACTGTGTCTGTCTGCAGCTGTACCTGGGGGTTGTGTTGTCTGCTGTCGTCATCATCACCGGTTGCTTCTCCTACTACCAAGAGGCCAAGAGCTCCAAGATAATGGATTCCTTCAAGAACTTGGTCCCTCAGGTGTGTCTCTGTTAGCATAGCATTCATCCATGTGTTCATGTTGAGAATGTGCTAGCTAAAACGTGTGGTCTTGCAGCAAGCCCTGGTGGTTCGCGACGGAGAGAAGAAAAGCATCAATGCCGAGGAAGTGGTTGTCGGTGATCTGGTGGAGGTGAAGGGTGGAGACCGGATCCCAGCTGACCTCAGGATAATCTCTGCTCATGGCTGCAAGGTTGATGCTCCCGCTCTCTCTCTCAAAACCTTTAAGAAGCAACATTTGACTGAACCTGTAGCTTCATAACCCCAAAGAAGAGAAACATCTGTTTGAAATAATTGTGACTTTGAAGTTGAGCTTGAAATATCAAGCCTGGCTTTGATTTTTGCTCTTTGAAGCAGCTGGAGACTTGGTGTGTAAATGATCATCCAGAGGATTTCATCTTTTAGTGTGTCCATCCAGCAAACACTTCTGGGCCAAACTCCACACTCTCCCATGAACTCTAAGTTCTGGTTAATGCTTTTAAATGGAAAATAACAAAAGTGTCCAAATTTAAAGCAGATAATTCTGTTAAGGTAGAATCTGGAACAATGGCTTGATGTGAAGAGAAGAATGGATGCATGAAGGATGCTTGTATGCAGAAAGGAGAGATGGAAGGATGACGCAAAAGATAAAAAAAGATCATACATATCCAGACTTTTCAAATGCTGAAATGAAATTCCATATTTTTCTGAAGGTCACTGGTTAGGGTCCTTCCTGATTTGGTCAAACAGGAAGTTGATTCCGTCTCTGAAAGTGAACCCTGTGTCTTTATTTCTTGTTGTTCAATCTAAATGTGTGTTCTGGTTTCTCAGGTGGACAATTCATCCCTGACGGGCGAATCAGAACCACAAACTCGTACTCCAGACTTCTCCAATGAGAACCCGCTGGAGACCCGGAACATCGCTTTCTTTTCCACCAACTGTGTTGAAGGTACAAGGCCAGAAGTCTTTCAAGCACTTCACCAACTTTTATCAGTCAGCTTAAGTCAAAGATATAACCCTGGTTGCAGGAACGGCTCGCGGCATAGTGATCAGCACCGGAGACCGGACTGTCATGGGCCGGATCGCCACGCTGGCCTCTGGACTGGAGGTGGGACGCACACCCATCTCCATCGAGATTGAACACTTCATCCACATCATCACTGGGGTGGCTGTCTTCCTGGGTATGTCTTTCTTCATCCTCTCCCTCATCCTTGGCTATACCTGGCTGGAGGCTGTCATCTTCCTCATTGGTATCATTGTGGCCAACGTTCCAGAAGGTCTCCTGGCTACAGTCACTGTGAGTCTACAAGTCTCTTTGTCCTCTTCTCTGAGAATCATCAAGAATATTTAATCAGTGAAGTGTTGCTTTTTGTTTCCAGGTGAAGAAATCCATTGTTTCCTCTTATCTGATAATCTTCAAGAATATCCCATCAGTTTTGATCGATCTGGTTTTTGTTTCCAGGTGTGTCTGACTCTGACTGCCAAGCGTATGGCCAAGAAGAACTGCCTGGTGAAGAACCTGGAAGCTGTGGAGACTCTGGGCTCCACCTCCACCATCTGCTCTGACAAGACCGGCACCCTGACCCAGAACAGGATGACCGTGGCCCACATGTGGTTTGACAACCAAATCCATGAAGCCGACACCACCGAGAACCAGAGTGGCACCTCGTTTGACCGGAGCTCGGCCACTTGGGCGTCTCTGGCCAGGATCGCTGGACTCTGCAACCGAGCTGTCTTCCTGGCCGAGCAGAGCAACTTTCCCATCCTCAAGGTACAGTCCTCTTCTACTTGATAGACTTCTATTCTCTGTAAATAGTGACCTTGTATACTGATTAATGTTTTTGAACTCAAATGGATTAAAATAACATGGGGTCAGATTGCTTCTAAACATTGAAGTAGAAGAAAAATTTATTTATTTTATTTTTTAATACACAGATGTGAAAAGTGTGGGTTTCTGTTCTGTCTTGATTCAGATTTCATCCTGTAGATTTAGAGGTGAAGCCCAAAAGTCCTGCAGTGAAAGGAGCTTCTGCAGAGCATTGACACAACCACAGAACATAAATTATGTAACATAATGTAAATTTTGTCAAAATTTAATTGGTGCTTGAGAGTTATAGTGTTTCAAAAACAGATATAATTTGAATTGAAATCTGCACTACAGCATTAACTTCCACCAAATCCCATGTTGTTTTAGTGCTATAGCATTAGCTTCTGCCAAATACTGTGTTGGTTCCACTCTATACCATATCGGAAAAGCGCTTTGAGTTGGTGGAACTAACTTTTTAGTTTGCGTTGCCTACCAGCAGATAACGGGAAATATTTAGTCTTGGAAATGTTGGAATTTTTAAACAGAAAATCAGTAAGTTGGGGTAATCACAAATAAAACACAACTTCCTAATAAAATACTCTTATGTATTTCAAGTTATGTCTTGCATTGTAATCAAACATTGAACAGAAAATGTATTTTATCTTTTTAAATTTAACTAGAGGTTTAAACTTTGTGGCTAAAAACAAGTTTACTACTTTCTTTCGTGTGTCTGAACTCCTCCGCTAATAGCACAAACACAAATATCCATCTCTCTTGAGTCTGTTTTTATAGCGTGCGTGCGCATGCGATAATCACAAGTAAATGTCTGTCTGCCATTATAAATACCCCTTTGTCTGTCACGGTTCATTGTTTTTCTTTAAGTCTCTGTTACGTAATGTATGGAGGGTAAACACTGTAATTATGACTGCAAAAAACCTCAAATAAAGTTTTTCCTGAAACCTGTTACACACTGTACATTAGTTGAATTAAATAGAAAGGAAGTAGGAAGATGGAGACTTCATGTCACTGATGTTTCTGATGTTTTTTTGTTAAAAAGCGAGATGTGGCGGGCGACGCCTCGGAGTCTGCTCTGCTGAAGTGCATTGAGCTCTGCTGTGGATCGGTGGCGGAAATGAGAGGGAAAAACCCCAAAATAGCCGAGATCCCGTTCAACTCCACCAACAAGTATCAGGTGTGACATCAGAAAACTAAAATAAAATAAGCTTTCAAGAACTTTCAAAGCTTATAAACAAAAGATGGTAAACATGACATACTCAATCTGTCTTCCATCATGATCAGCTCTCCATTCATAAGAACTCTGGAGCTGAAGCAGAGTCCAAGCACCTACTGGTGATGAAGGGAGCCCCAGAGAGGATTCTGGACCGCTGCGCCACCATCATGATCCAGGGCAAAGAGCAGCCTCTGGACGACGAGATGAAGGACGCTTTCCAGAACGCCTACCTGGAGCTGGGAGGTTTAGGAGAAAGGGTTCTCGGATTTTGTCATTTCAACCTGCCTGATGAGCAGTTCCCGGATGACTTTGCTTTTGACACGGACGAGGTGAACTTCCCCATCGAGAACCTGTGCTTTGTCGGCCTCATGTCCATGATCGACCCGCCCCGGGCCGCTGTGCCGGATGCTGTGGGGAAATGCAGGAGCGCAGGAATCAAGGTCTGTGACATTTTAAAACCAAGTGGAGTCATTTCACGTTCAGAACATAAATAATTAAAACCTGCCTTCCTACAGGTAATCATGGTAACGGGTGATCATCCAATCACAGCCAAGGCCATCGCTAAAGGCGTTGGCATCATCTCTGAAGGCAACGAGACTGTTGAGGACATCGCTGCACGTTTGAATATTCCAATCAATGAAGTTAATCCTAGGTACTTTTATTAGAAAATGTAATTAGCATGTAGAGGCAAAATCTGTGGAAAACCTTGGGGTCGTGTTCTTGGTCCCAGTTTGTTTTAAATTTGGCTTCAACTTTACTGAAATCGAATAATAAATGACCTGATGCAATAATGTTTCCATCCAGGGATGCCAAGGCTTGTGTTGTGCATGGAGGTGACCTGAAGGATCTGACCCCTGAGCAGCTGGACGACATCCTGAAGTACCACACGGAGATTGTTTTTGCCAGGACCTCACCGCAGCAGAAGCTCATCATTGTTGAGGGCTGCCAGAGACAGGTAGACATGGACATGCTGAAGTCTGGCTGATTATGTGGTGTTTTTTTAGTTTTTGTTTTTTTCAAAACAGTTGAGAAATGTGTGCAATATTCATTATTGGCCAAGGTGGCCATATTTAATTAGAACAAAAATTAAAGTTAAAAACGGGAGAGTAGTAGGAGAAAGTAGCAGAGTGAGGGACAGAAGACAGCATAACTACATGCAGCTATTTATCCTGCTTTAACTCAGGATAAACTAATCTGCTCTATGAATATTGGACATAATATTCAAGTTTAAACAGCAGTGTGCCATACAAGGTATTTTCTATTGTACTCTTCTGTTTACTTTGAGGACAAATTATTTTTTTAAAAATGGACACATATTGGAGATCAGAGACAAAACTTTCATAATGAATTTCAATCTTTATCAATTAAAATATAACATTGTTTTTATTATTATCTCTAAAATGAGTCTAAACCAGTGGTTCTTAACCTTTTTTGAGGTACTGAACCCACCAGTTCCATATGCGCATTCACTGAACCCTTCTGTAGTGATAAATAAAATATGATTTCCGCCCCCCAAATTCTAGACATAGGGGTGACCCAACTAGAGTCTAGTTGGGTCACTAGACTCTAGGTGGGTCTAGATCACTAAGTCTTCTTAAAAGGTAGAGTCTCTGAGAACAGTTCTTCAAAATATAGTCAGTGTTGACTGTCCAGGAACAACCCAAGGTATTTAAAATTTGCCACAGTTTCAAAAGGTTGGCCATCGAGTGAAACTGGAACCACTTTAAGGTCTTGTTTAGATCATTTAATTAGCTCTACATTCTTAAGATAATGAAAATTTTATAATAAATAATAAAGACTTTGCAGTATTCTGATTTAGTAATGTAATTATATTAGTTGTGTTACCACCCCCACGCCACTAGAGGCAGTAGCAGGCCCGAAAAGATGCGACTGAGGAGCAGATTTAGAAGTACACCAAAGCTACAGAATTTGGTGAAAA